ATTTATTTTTGAGACAGAGAGAGACAGAGCATGAGGGGGCAGGGGCAGAGAGAGGGAGGGAGACACAGAATCCGAAGCAGGCTCCAGGCTCTGAGCTGTCAGCACAGAGCCCGAGGCACAGCTTGAGCTCAGGGACTGTGAGATCATGACCTGAGCTAAAGTTACGCTTAACTGACTGAGCCACCCAGGTGCCCCTCCTGAGTTTTACTTTAAAATATCCCCTTTCTTCTTCTTTCTGATGATGTTTCAAACCCTTTAGTAATTCCTACAAATCACAGGTCAGAAGTGCTAGTGAGGATATCCACTACCAAATTATCTATCTTAGAACTACTGCAGGATTTGCTATACTCTGTATTGTAGAAACAGCCAACATGTTTAGTCAAAGGATTTAGCATGTTCTCTTTTCTTATTTGGTTTTCTTTCTGTATCTTGTTCAGCTCTGCATGATCAAAGATCTTAGGAATTATTCTTGAAGGCAGAGCAGAATGCTGTAGAAGATAAATGTGGTATTTGGTTTGATGTTGGTCTTTGACTATTACTAGCTGCTGTAGGAGTATAATGGACTAAATTCAACTTGCCTCTGGTACTGTTGAATGGAAAGCTAAGGGGCACCTGGGTGCTTCAGTCAATTCAGTTAGTTGAGCATCTAACTTTGGCTCAGGTCATGATTTCATGGTTTGTGAGTTCAAGCCCCACATCAGGCTTTCTGCTGTCAGCGCAGAGTCTGCTTCAGATCCTCTGTCCCTCTCTCTCCGCCCCTCCTCCGCTCGCGCTCTCTCAAAAATTAACGGGGTGGAAAAAAAAAAAAAAAAAAAAAAAAGGAAAGCTCAGGTACCTGCCAGTAAGAACTTCAGAACTGAATGAATTCAATTAGGTTTAGATCAGTAACAGTTGGTAACCAAGTGTCTCTAGATCCTAAATGCAAGTCTGCTGTCAGTGTCAGGCTGGGAATTTCAGAATTATCTGAGAAACTTAAAGAAAAAGAAAAAAAAAAAAAAAAAAAAAAAAAGGAGGAAGAGGAAGAGAGAAAGACCCCAGCCATAGAGATTCCGATCCAGCAAATGTGGGATGAGATCCAGAAGTCTGTATTTTTAAAAAGCTCCCAGGGACTTCTGATACACAGCTATACTGCAGAATACGGTTGGTACTAAAGAATCCCAAATGTATAGGGGATAATTTGTTGTTAAGGTTAATAAGGAAGAGCTACAGAATCATGAGACTATAGCACCTGGAGGACTTTTAGACTACTACGTTGAAACTCCCTTTCTTTTTCCATTCAGGAAGATTAGAATCCTGGCTAGTTCACAGACACACCTGTCATAGACAGACCCCTTGACTTCTGGCATTTCTGTTACATATGCTGCCCCTCTTATTCTTTAGTTAACTTAAACAGGTCTTTGCCTCACGGTAAATATATATATTTGTAATTTGCCTACAGACATCAACAACTCTTTTTTACTTTATTATACCTGTAGGAGTGAACAAAGTTGGAACTGAGTGGAAGCTTGCTGAAAGAAGAAAATGTGCATTCTTGTTTACAGGTCTCCTCACAGCCTCCCCAGGTCCCCGGGATCACACAAGACAGGGAGCACAGCTTTCAGATCTTATCACTTCTCAGAGAAGAAAACAGTTGATACATGACACATGAAAGCAGGACCAGTTTTTCAGGTTGAAGAGTTACTCTTAAAAGAGCTACTTTTCTTGCAGTCATTGAGTCAGGTTAAAGTTTCTAGGTGACAGGAATCTAGGAAAGAGAACTGAAAAGTTGCCTCAGGGACAAACGGAGGGAAAAAATAGTCAACCTCCTGTTCAGGGTGTGAGCTCATCTCAGCTGTCACTTCACTGGTAATTCCTGCCTGCTATTTATAAACTAAGACTCAAGAGTACTAGATGACAAAATGTTCTAAGCAAAATGTAAACTAAGATGTTCTATAGGTCCAACATTTTTCCAACAGGTAAAATTTAAAAGTTTATCTTTCTTAAGTAGACTAAAGCTGCACACACAGGCACAAAATAATGAAATGAAAGGCATAAAGAATTTCTGAGTAAAGGAAGATGCAAAATGCTAAACTAAGCCATGATACTATAAAAAAATTTGAAAGATTAAGACATAAAGAGTAAAAAAGTCTAGGAACTACAGATAAAAAATCAAAAGCAAAACCAAACAAAAAACAGACAAAAAACCAAAACCCACACAAGAGCCCACAAGTATGAACTAAGAGCAAATGTTTTTTTTTTTTAATTTTTTTTTTTCAACGTTTTTATTTATTTTTGGGACAGAGAGACAGAGCATGAACGGGGGAGGGGCAAAGAGAGAGGGAGACACAGAATCGGAAACAGGCTCCAGGCTCCGAGCCATCAGCCCAGAGCCTGACGCGGGGCTCGAACTCACGGACCGCGAGATCGTGACCTGGCTGAAGTCGGACGCTTAACCGACTGCGCCACCCAGGCGCCCCAAAGAGCAAATGTTAAATAAAATAAAGGAATTGAGCAAAAGAAGATGAAAAAAAATCATTTCTAAAACGAGAAGCCGTTCAAGTGTCCACCGACAGAAGAATGGATAATATGGTATATAAATATACAATGGAACATTATTCAGCCATAAAGAGGACAAAATTCTGATATATTCTACAACAGTTACATGAATTATCTAAAACAGGCAAATTCATAGAGACAAAGTAGATTAAAGGTGACCAGGGACTTGGAAAATGAGGCAGTGGGGAGTTATGGTTTCATGGGTACATTTCTTTTGGGAGATGACAGGGATTTGGAAATAGTGGTAATGGTTATACAACATTGTGATTGTAATTAATGCCACTGAATTATACACTTAAAAGTGGTTAAAATGGCAAATTTTATGTCATATACATTTTACCACAATAAAAAATGAAGTAGCCAAAACAGACTAAAAAGAAAAAAAATCAGTATGCAACAAAACAATTTAAACCGGAAATTAAAATATTAAAATAATATGCCGAGTTACTGCAAAAGTATCACCCCCAAATATAATTTAAGGAACCTAAGGAACATAACAAGTATATGGTGGGGGAGGTATGTCAAAGTGGCAGCAGCATAAATAGTTTCATCCCAAATGAGTAGGATGTCCACATAACTTACCATCATAACCAGGACATTTTTGAGAGAATACTATTAATAATTACACAGGGACAAGAGGTGTAGATGGGGCCTGTCCCAGGCAAATTGGAATGTGTGGGAACGCTCCCTACAAGGGCTATCAGATCCTCAAGGTTGTGGTCAGGCCCATAGCTTGGGGTCTGGTGAAAGTACAATAGTCTGAGAACATCTTCCTGAAGGACCCAAGTGAAGTCTTTTTTTTTTTTCTTTCTTTCTTTTTGTTTGTTTACAAAGAACACACAATTACATAGAGTTATGGAAGCTTACAAGTTTGGGATTCATAAAGCAATTAGTATATTATTGGATTTTTTTAAAAGCTATTATGGTATTCCAGGCATTTCGGGAAGGTGAATTATACTTTGAAATGCACGCATAGGCATAAGATTTCCTAAGCTGAACCATTTTTCATTAATATACATCTTTATATATTACATTACAGCTCTATAAATGCATGTTTTCACACTTATATTGAACTATACACAACTGAGTTTTAACATTATAAAAATCACACTAGAATTACTGAGAAAATTAGTAACTGATGGCCTATCCATTCTTTATTATTAAACTAAAATTTATCTTAATGACCTATAAATAGGTTAACTTAAAAAGTCCATACCTTACATGAGAAGCTCCGACTCGGGATGTTCCTTGCTAACTCTGATATCGTGGGTTTATCCTGCAGACACTTGGTTAGGTGACATTTTTTCAATTTTATTCTATCGTAATAATGATCAGCGAAGTTATAGTGATTCAAGTGCTGTTTCTGCATGCATTTCCCAAGGCGAGGAATACTATACTTCAAAGCCTGGAGAAATAATTTGCTCTTCTGCTGCATGATATCAGAGCCCCTGGTTTATGCTCCCTTTGGGGCTGTCAGCACATGATTTCACAGTAGTGGGTTCTCAGAATATCTAAGATCCGCAGTTCTTATCCCTCCCCTTCAGGGCCATCCACCCCTCAGGTTATGAATAACTGCAGACAGCTGATAACTCAGGTTAAAAATACCTGAAAACTTGTATAAGTTACAGTTTCATTCAAATGACACCTCTTGGCAGACGTGACTTAAAATGTCTCATTTGTAAAGTCAATCCTATCAGGGTCAAACTACGCAGCACTGATTCTGGTACACATGAGGCAAACTAAAAAACAATAACAAAACAAAACAAAAAACAAAAAAACAAAATAAAAATTTGCAAACAAACACATAGACTTAATGGCATCTCCGGAACTCTTGAGGGCTTTACAAGGCAAAATGGCTTTGGTCTTACATAATGCAGAACATGTCTCCGGTGTGTATATTAGGAAAAAGCCTAATTACTTAATAAAGGTAGGGGAGTGTTGAGTGTTTGCTACATGCCAGACACTTTTATACACTTTGTCTAATTTAAACTTCATAAGGACCTACCCGATAGAGTAGCTATTGTAATGTTCATTTCACAGGTGAGCCAACTGTGGCTCTGGGCGGTTTTAGCAAAGTGCCTTGGGTCATTTGGACAGTAAGTAGCAGAGCAAAAAGTCCAATCTGGCTGGCTCCAAATGTTAGACGTAACAATGGACTTAACGTTAAAAAGGTGTTGAGCTCTTTAGTTAAAACAGAAGCACATCACTTTAGGATGAACAAATATAATGTGAGGCCGCCCCTGGTTTCTGTTGAAAAGATGGTTCTTATTAAACCATCAAAGGCTCGTATTTAAGAGAGACACCTGGGTTCAGATCCTCACTCGGGCACTCACCACTTGTGCCTCAGTTTCTTCATCTGCAAAACTGAGATGACATCATTTACCTTATGGAGTTGTTGTAAGAATAAAATTACAGAATTTATGTTAAGATCTCAATACAGTGCCTGGCATGTAGCGTGCACTCAATAAATGCTTGTTACTATTATTACATAAAAAAATCTAAGTTTCTTGCACACTGTTGAATATCATCATGGGAGTCTTCCACAAAATGCCCCTCGGTATCAAAGATACACTATTGCGTCAGATTTACTACAGATTTGATCCGCTCCGACGATTCCGCCCCCCCACCCCCCACCCCCCGTAATCTCTGTGTCGCAGCAAAATAACGGGCGAGTGGGGATAAGAGATCAGCAGCCAACACTAACCACCTCCACCTCCCCGCCCACCAAGGTCCCGTTACAGGGGCCTATAAGGCCCTCAGTCATTATATCCATGCCAGAAGCCTCAATCCATCCATCTTTCATCCGCAGGGAGAAGACAGTATGCAAAGATAAGGATGGGGGGGGGGGGGGGACGAAGGGGTGTTCCGGGAGGACCTACTCGTTTTCCCTGTGCAACTCTCCACCCCAGGGATAAGACGGCGTGAATGAGAGAAGGTCAGGGGAGGTGGCAGTATGTGCCACGCAAAGAAGGGACGCCAAGCAAAAAGCGACCAGGGGGGCTGACGGGTGTCTGGGTGAAAGGAAGGAGAGGACCCCGCCCCCGCCACGGTATGCCTTCCGTACGTACGCAAGTTGAAGGACAGTTGGCCGGGCTCTAGACACCGAAACGAAGGAGGGCAAGTCTGAGAACCAGAACCTTTCAGGAAGGAGCACAGGTGTCACCTCAGTCGCGTCCAGCCGAAGTCTGCGTTCCGCAACCCGCAGAACGACAGCCAATCCAGAGCCGCCCAGATCTGGTTTGCAGCACGCTGATCTACGTAACCCCAGTCAAACACTAGCGCTAAGCGGATTTCGCCATTTTTATTGTGGTCATGAATAGGTTCTCCTCCAGTGTTTTTTTTTTTTTTTAACTGTCAAAGTTCTAAGACTTTTGGTTCTTTGCTAGTCTTCTGTGATCTAGATGAGGCAGGGGACAGTGGGAAAAGAGGAGCCGGCGTCCCATTAGTTCTGCCACAGCTCCTTACCCTTTGGTCTGCCCTCACAAAAGATGGCCACCAGCAAAATGGTGCAATGACGCGCTGCCCCGGTTGCCAAGGAGACACGAATACCGGAAATGCGGAATTCGGGGAGGGCGCGCGCGCTGGGGCGGTCGGAGCTCACAGGTCCTGACTGGGAACAAGTACACAGGTCCTGGCAGGGGAGAGTTGTGGTCGCGACGGCGCGTGGTATAGGCGGGTTTAATGGGATGGAGTCGCGAGTCGCGGATGCCGAGGCCCGCGAGGCTCAGAGTGCTGCGGGCGAGGGCCCAGCAAGCGGCGACGCCTCTCAGAGGCTTCCAGTCTCGGAGCCCTTGGGAGCTGCCCGGTGGAAGCTTCTGCGGCAGGTAAGAGAAAGCCCACTCACCTCACCTTTGCCTCTGGCCACTTCCCTCCCGGGTACGCAGCTAGCGACCGGTAGAGTGTCTCTCCTTTTTGCAACTCTGGGAGTTCGCTCGTAGTTGTGCCGGGAGCCACGTGAGAAGCGCCCCCTTGCTTCGGTTAAAGGTCCCACCAAAAGGGAAGAATTGGATTGGGTGGGGCGGGGAGGGGGCAGCCAACACTGAGTTCCTGGGAAACTCAGATGGAAGTATAAGATCTTTTTTTGGACATTTGTTTGCATCTCGGGGACTCTTCTCTGTGCTCACCAATCCAATTGGTGGGACCGCCGCTCCCCATCCTATGCTATTTTCTTTCTTGCTTCTGTTTTACTTCTTTCCCCAGGTTTCTTCTCCTTGCTTCTTATCTCCCAGCCTCCGTCTGGTTCAAGTCTGGCCCCTTCCTCGGAAATCAGCGTGGTTGACTGTGTTGGGACTGTGAAGTTGCACGCGGTGTCGGTACAGCGGAGAGTGGAGGGTGTATCCAGAAGAGCTGCTTCTGTCTTTGGTGGCATGTGAAAGTTTCGTGTTGATCTTGTAGTTTGAAGTGATCAGCAAGATTCTTGGTGCCCAAGGTGGACTAGTCCGGGTGTGTTGGTTTGTTTAACGGCGGTCATTTTCTAGTACTTTAGAGTTGCTGCTGTTGGTAACTTCAGTTGTACACAGGTTTGACAAATGTCTGATTTGACATCGCCGACCCTCTTTCCAAACTGCTTGAAGTAAAATCTGTTTATTGTTTTGCACACCAGTGTTAATCCTCTGCCTGAGCTTTTCTCCTGAAAACTTGACTCGAGGACATTTTCTACTTCTGACTGTTGTATTTCGAGAAGGATTTCCCAGCTACAGCCACTTGGAGATTGTTTGCAGCTGTCTCAAGTCACTTTTTCATATAATGTCATGATGTGACTCAGAGATCATTTCTTTGCTCATGCTTTGAAAGTGTATCCAAAGCATTAATGGTCTGGTTTTGTTACTAATATTACAAAATTATAGGATATTAAATGCATCATTCATAGATCATTCTCATAGGAACTTTCTACAGTGAAATAAAACAGCAGTTAAAGTTGAATTATCAAAGTAGTAAATTAGGGCATTAAATTAATCAAATCTTATTGTGATAATTTCAGTGATTCTTAGTATGGTAAAAATTCCAGCTGACCAGCACATATGTTCATTCTGAATTGCTGTCTACATCAGATCAAGGACAAGCTTCAGCTATGGCTACCATTTGAACTCCCCACGTACTTTGTTTGACATTTAATGTTTTGGTACACATGTGTATTTTGCTTAGAGTCTTCTTTCTTACTCGATGAAGTTCATTTTTCACAACTACATTTTAACATCCTCTGTGAAGCCTCTCCTAACTCATCTGGGCTGAGTTAGACCCTCAACTCACTCTACCAGTGAACCCCATATCATATCATTTTATGATCATCTGATCAGAGTCCCTATAACTTACCAGAATGGGAGTTCTCCCTGGGAAAAGATGATATTTTATTGATCTCTATCCTCTGCACCTTGCACAGTGCCTGGGTGGTTTTTAGTAGATGTTAAGTGTTGTGGAAAGCCTGAAAGTAAGAACAGGCTTTAAGTGGCCCATAGTATCAAGTTCTCAATGTATTGTATCATTTAGATATTAATGAGTAACAAACAACTACAACATCACAATGGCGTACAATAGTTAGCATTTATTTTGTGTATCCATGGGACACCTGGGAGTTGACTGACATAGGCTATGATCGGCAGACTTTAATCCTTGGACCAGTTGGCTGACATATTCTCAAGGTGATGGCAGAAGTATAAGAGAGTAAAGCCCAACCACTAAAATTCATTTTAAGGTCTTGCTAACTCCTATTATCTGAGGTAAGATACTTGGCTAAGCTTAAAATCAAAGGGCCGGGAAGTATACTCCTTCTTTGGAGGGGGCAAGAAAGGAATAAATCCATAATAAATCTAACCTACCATGTATATTAAACATTTGCAGGTGCTTAGTAAATATGTTTCAAACTAACTGACCATCCACATCTTGTAGGCATCCAGAACTGGAAAACTGAGGAATCTAAGCAGTGATAGAGATATGCAGTGCTCTCTCTCTCTCTCTCTCTCTCTCTCATGGGACATCTTCATGACATCTGCTTATGCCTGCTTGTTTTCTTCTACACAGTTCTGTCGCTCTATTACCCCATAGGGCTCCAGTGCTATCTAATGGTCCTTCACTTTAACTGTTCAATAATTTTTTTTTTTTGGTTTTGTAATTAACCTTTTTTAGAAAAAGCCCAGTTGACCTAGTTTGTCGTTTGATACCAGGTCACATGATAAATTGCTGACTTTTGAGCCTAGTGCTCACTTTAATCAGATGAAGACTATGGATCAATATTGATAGAGGCTTTAGATAGTATTCTGTTTTCCTCTTTGTTGGGTGTCATTACCTGATAGCAAAGATGGCTGCTGGTAACAACAGGCTTTCATCATGTACCCAACTAGTGATCCAGAAGAAATGACCTTTTTTCCCAAAACCCAAATAATGCCCTTTGAACAACTCTAATAGGCCAAGGTTGGACCAGTTGTTGTGTCTAGGAGAATGAGGCATTTTGGCTACCTGGAACGTTAGCCCACCCTGTTGCTGGGAAGATAAAATCCCCATCATTAACACGTAGAGTGAGGGAGGGGCAATTCCTAAGAGGAAGGGATGTAGGGCAGATGAAAAAGTGGCAGTGATCATTACACCCATACTCACAAACACCTTCAGAATGAATAATCTTGCCTACAGGTCTCATATTTGGCTGAAGAATCTGATTAATGGACTATTTCACAGCATGATTTAAATTAAAGCGCTATGCTGTATGTTTGAGACTATCAGTGCTGAAAGAGATAGCATGATTTCTGGAATGGAATTTAATATAACTTAATTTCGGGCCCAGATCCGCCCTTAACTATTTGTGTGATGGTGAGCAACCTCTTTGGACCTCAGTTTCTCAGTTGTGAATGAGGGAACAGTAGTAGATTTCTCTAAGACCATTTTCATCTCGGATTATTTTGGAGTGAAATTATTTACCAGCGTTAGAAATAAATTCATTTTCTATGTTCTTGTCCTGTTGTTTTATGTTTTCCTAACAAGGATTTGATTGATGTATTTTTAATACTTAAAAACAAAACATTACATATTGGGGGCACCTGGGTGGCTCAGTAGGTTAAGCATCTCACTTCCACTCAGGTCAGATCTCATGGTTTGTGGGTTTGAGCCCTGCATTGGGCTCTGTGCCGACAGCTCAGAGCCTGGAGCCTGCTTTGAATTGTGTGTCTCCCTCTCTCTCTGTCCCTCCCTTACTCACGTTCTCTCTCTCTCTTTCGAAAATAAGTAAACATTAAAAAATTTACATATTGGATAAATGTGCAACACTGCATATACAAGTGAGATTATCACGGTATTCTTTAAAGTATTAAAAATGATTTTTACAATGTCAAAAACCAAAACAAAGGATAGGGACAGTATGCATAGTATGAGCCCTTTGAGAATTATTCATGGTTTTTTAGTTTTTTTTTAATGTTTATTTATCTTTGAGAAAGAGATAGAGACAGTGTGCATGCAGGGGAGGGACAGAGAGAGGGAGACAGGATCTGAAGCAGGCTCCAGGCTCTTATCTGTCAGCACAGAGCCCAACATGGGGCTTGAACTCACCAGTCGTGAGATCATGACCTGGGCCGAAGTCTCATGCTTAACTGACTGAGCCACCCAGGCACCCTTACTCATGGTTATTTGTATATGTATGCATGCATGTTTAACAGTGTGCTCTCCCAGAATAGTAGAATTTCAACTGGGTTTTTACTCTTCTATACTTAAATTTCTTTTACAGTAAACATGATTCTTTTTTTTTTTTTAACGTTTATTTATTTTTGAGACAGAGACAGAGCATGAATGGGGGAGGGTCAGAGAGAGAGAGAGAGAGGGAGACACAGAATCTGAAACAGGCTCCAGGCTCCGAGCTGTCAGCACAGAGCCCGACGCGGGGCTTGAACTCACAAACCGTGAGATCATGACCCGAGCCGAAGTTGGACGCTTAGCCAACTGAGCCACCCAGGCACCCCAACATGATTATTTTCAAATCACTTACCAAAAACTTATTAAAATGCCAAAATGCATAGTTTTAATTTTAACATCTTTGAAATTGAGATACGGCTTTTAGTTGACTGCACGCTGGTTAATTGGCAGTCTATTCTATATAACAACAGAAGAAAGAAATGTTGCCATCTTGTAATCAATGATGTGTTAAATTTAATGAAGTACAGTCATAGGAAGGGAGGACTTTTTTTTTTTTTCATTTTAAGGTAAAACACCAAAGACCCTTGACTACCAGAAAAACTCCACATGATTGAACAAAATTATTCCCAGATCAAGATGCTTTATACAGTAGAAGACCTATTACCTGGATTGGTTAACTGAGAGAGTTAAAGAGGTGAATCATAAAAATGATACATATTCTAAAGTGAAGCTATAACCTAAGTGCTAAATACTTCTAGATATTTATGATTAGTTCTTTAGAGTTTTTACGGTTGGCTTCCCACACCTAAATTGATAGTATAGATTTTGGGGCACCTGGATGGCTCAGTCGGTTAAGTGTCCGACTTCGGCTCAGGTCATGATCTCACGGTTCGTGGGTTCAAGCCCTGCCTCAGGCTCTGTGCTGACAGCTCAGAGCCTGGAGCCTGCTACAGATTCTGTATCGCCCTCTCTCTCTCTCTGCCCCATCCCTACCTGCTCTCTGTCTCTCAAGAATGAATAAACGCTAAAAAAAAAATAATAATAATAAAAAATAAAATATAAATAGATTAATAGTAAGGTTTTAAGCAACTTTTATCAAGCAGACTTGCCTTTACCTTTCCAAAACATCCAACTTAGTTTTTTATTTTTTTTAATTTTTTTAAGCTTATTTATTTATGAGAGAGACAGACAGCATGAGTGGGGGAGGGGC